TGTCACAGCATAGCATCTCCCTGTCACAGCATAGCATCTCCCTGTCACAGCATAGCATCTCCCTGTCACAGCATAGCATCTCCCTGTCACAGCATAGCATCTCCCTGTCACAGCATAGCATCTCCCTGGCATAGCATAGCATCTCCCTGGCACAGCATAGCATCTCCCTGTCACAGCATAGCATCTCCCTGGCATAGCATAGCATCTCCCTGTCATAGCATAGCATCTCCCTGTCACAGCATAGCATCTCCCTGTCACAGCATAGCATCTCCCTGTCACAGCATAGCATCTCCCTGTCACAGCATAGCATCTCCCTGTCACAGCATAGCATCTCCCTGGCATAGCATAGCATCTCCCTGTCACAGCATAGCATCTCCCTGTCACAGCATAGCATCTCCCTGTCACAGCATAGCATCTCCCTGTCACAGCATAGCATCTCCCTGTCACAGCATAGCATCTCCCTGTCACAGCATAGCATCTCCCTGGCATAGCATAGCATCTCCCTGGCACAGCATAGCATCTCCCTGGCATAGCATAGCATCTCCCTGTCACAGCATAGCATCTCCCTGGCATAGCATAGCATCTCCCTGTCACAGCATAGCATCTCCCTGTCACAGCATAGCATCTCCCTGTCACAGCATAGCATCTCCCTGTCACAGCATAGCATCTCCCTGTCACAGCATAGCATCTCCCTGTCACAGCATAGCATCTCCCTGGCATAGCATAGCATCTCCCTGGCACAGCATAGCATCTCCCTGTCACAGCATAGCATCTCCCTGTCACAGCATAGCATCTCCCTGTCACAGCATAGCATCTCCCTGGCATAGCATAGCATCTCCCTGGCACAGCATAGCATCTCCCTGTCACAGCATAGCATCTCCCTGTCACAGCATAGCATCTCCCTGTCACAGCATAGCATCTCCCTGTCACAGCATAGCATCTCCCTGGCACAGCATAGCATCTCCCTGGCATAGCATAGCATCTCCCTGGCACAGCATAGCATCTCCCTGTCACAGCATAGCATCTCCCTGGCATAGCATAGCATCTCCCTGTCATAGCATAGCATCTCCCTGGCATAGCATAGCATCTCCCTGTCACAGCATAGCATCTCCCTGTCACAGCATAGCATCTCCCTGTCACAGCATAGCATCTCCCTGTCACAGCATAGCATCTCCCTGGCATAGCATAGCATCTCCCTGTCACAGCATAGCATCTCCCTGTCACAGCATAGCATCTCCCTGTCACAGCATAGCATCTCCCTGTCACAGCATAGCATCTCCCTGTCACAGCATAGCATCTCCCTGTCACAGCATAGCATCTCCCTGGCATAGCATAGCATCTCCCTGGCACAGCATAGCATCTCCCTGTCACAGCATAGCATCTCCCTGGCATAGCATAGCATCTCCCTGTCACAGCATAGCATCTCCCTGGCATAGCATAGCATCTCCCTGTCACAGCATAGCATCTCCCTGTCACAGCATAGCATCTCCCTGTCACAGCATAGCATCTCCCTGGCATAGCATAGCATCTCCCTGTCACAGCATAGCATCTCCCTGTCACAGCATAGCATCTCCCTGTCACAGCATAGCATCTCCCTGTCACAGCATAGCATCTCCCTGGCATAGCATAGCATCTCCCTGGCACAGCATAGCATCTCCCTGTCACAGCATAGCATCTCCCTGTCACAGCATAGCATCTCCCTGTCACAGTATAGCATCTCCCTGTCACAGCATAGCATCTCCCTGTCACAGCATAGCATCTCCCTGGCACAGCATAGCATCTCCCTGTCACAGCATAGCATCTCCCTGTCACAGCATAGCATCTCCCTGTCACAGCATAGCATCTCCCTGTCACAGCATAGCATCTCCCTGGCATAGCATAGCATCTCCCTGGCACAGCATAGCATCTCCCTGTCACAGCATAGCATCTCCCTGTCACAGCATAGCATCTCCCTGTCACAGCATAGCATCTCCCTGTCACAGCATAGCATCTCCCTGTCACAGCATAGCATCTCCCTGTCACAGCATAGCATCTCCCTGTCACAGCATAGCATCTCCCTGGCATAGCATAGCATCTCCCTGTCACAGCATAGCATCTCCCTGTCACAGCATAGCATCTCCCTGTCACAGCATAGCATCTCCCTGTCACAGCATAGCATCTCCCTGTCACAGCATAGCATCTCCCTGGCATAGCATAGCATCTCCCTGGCATAGCATAGCATCTCCCTGTCACAGCATAGCATCTCCCTGTCACAGCATAGCATCTCCCTGTCACAGCATAGCATCTCCCTGTCACAGCATAGCATCTCCCTGTCACAGCATAGCATCTCCCTGGCATAGCATAGCATCTCCCTGTCACAGCATAGCATCTCCCTGTCACAGCATAGCATCTCCCTGTCACAGCATAGCATCTCCCTGTCACAGCATAGCATCTCCCTGTCACAGCATAGCATCTCCCTGTCACAGCATAGCATCTCCCTGGCATAGCATAGCATCTCCCTGTCACAGCATAGCATCTCCCTGTCACAGCATAGCATCTCCCTGTCACAGCATAGCATCTCCCTGTCACAGCATAGCATCTCCCTGTCACAGCATAGCATCTCCCTGGCATAGCATAGCATCTCCCTGGCACAGCATAGCATCTCCCTGTCACAGCATAGCATCTCCCTGGCATAGCATAGCATCTCCCTGTCACAGCATAGCATCTCCCTGTCACAGCATAGCATCTCCCTGTCACAGCATAGCATCTCCCTGTCACAGCATAGCATCTCCCTGTCACAGCATAGCATCTCCCTGGCATAGCATAGCATCTCCCTGGCACAGCATAGCATCTCCCTGTCACAGCATAGCATCTCCCTGGCATAGCATAGCATCTCCCTGTCACAGCATAGCATCTCCCTGTCACAGCATAGCATCTCCCTGTCACAGCATAGCATCTCCCTGTCACAGCATAGCATCTCCCTGTCACAGCATAGCATCTCCCTGGCATAGCATAGCATCTCCCTGGCACAGCATAGCATCTCCCTGTCACAGCATAGCATCTCCCTGGCATAGCATAGCATCTCCCTGTCACAGCATAGCATCTCCCTGTCACAGCATAGCATCTCCCTGTCACAGCATAGCATCTCCCTGTCACAGCATAGCATCTCCCTGGCATAGCATAGCATCTCCCTGTCACAGCATAGCATCTCCCTGTCACAGCATAGCATCTCCCTGTCACAGCATAGCATCTCCCTGTCACAGCATAGCATCTCCCTGTCACAGCATAGCATCTCCCTGTCACAGCATAGCATCTCCCTGGCATAGCATAGCATCTCCCTGGCACAGCATAGCATCTCCCTGTCACAGCATAGCATCTCCCTGGCATAGCATAGCATCTCCCTGTCATAGCATAGCATCTCCCTGTCACAGCATAGCATCTCCCTGTCACAGCATAGCATCTCCCTGTCACAGCATAGCATCTCCCTGTCACAGCATAGCATCTCCCTGTCACAGCATAGCATCTCCCTGGCATAGCATAGCATCTCCCTGTCACAGCATAGCATCTCCCTGTCACAGCATAGCATCTCCCTGTCACAGCATAGCATCTCCCTGTCACAGCATAGCATCTCCCTGTCACAGCATAGCATCTCCCTGTCACAGCATAGCATCTCCCTGGCATAGCATAGCATCTCCCTGGCACAGCATAGCATCTCCCTGGCATAGCATAGCATCTCCCTGTCACAGCATAGCATCTCCCTGGCATAGCATAGCATCTCCCTGTCACAGCATAGCATCTCCCTGTCACAGCATAGCATCTCCCTGTCACAGCATAGCATCTCCCTGTCACAGCATAGCATCTCCCTGTCACAGCATAGCATCTCCCTGTCACAGCATAGCATCTCCCTGGCATAGCATAGCATCTCCCTGGCACAGCATAGCATCTCCCTGTCACAGCATAGCATCTCCCTGTCACAGCATAGCATCTCCCTGTCACAGCATAGCATCTCCCTGGCATAGCATAGCATCTCCCTGGCACAGCATAGCATCTCCCTGTCACAGCATAGCATCTCCCTGTCACAGCATAGCATCTCCCTGTCACAGCATAGCATCTCCCTGTCACAGCATAGCATCTCCCTGTCACAGCATAGCATCTCCCTGGCATAGCATAGCATCTCCCTGTCACAGCATAGCATCTCCCTGGCACAGCATAGCATCTCCCTGTCACAGCATAGCATCTCCCTATCACAGCATAGCATCTCCCTGTCACAGCATAGCATCTCCCTGTCACAGCATAGCATCTCCCTGGCATAGCATAGCATCTCCCTGGCACAGCATAGCATCTCCCTGTCACAGCATAGCATCTCCCTGTCACAGCATAGCATCTCCCTGTCACAGCATAGCATCTCCCTGTCACAGCATAGCATCTCCCTGTCACAGCATAGCATCTCCCTGGCACAGCATAGCATCTCCCTGTCACAGCATAGCATCTCCCTGTCACAGCATAGCATCTCCCTGTCACAGCATAGCATCTCCCTGTCACAGCATAGCATCTCCCTGGCATAGCATAGCATCTCCCTGGCACAGCATAGCATCTCCCTGTCACAGCATAGCATCTCCCTGTCACAGCATAGCATCTCCCTGTCACAGCATAGCATCTCCCTGTCACAGCATAGCATCTCCCTGTCACAGCATAGCATCTCCCTGTCACAGCATAGCATCTCCCTGTCACAGCATAGCATCTCCCTGGCATAGCATAGCATCTCCCTGTCACAGCATAGCATCTCCCTGTCACAGCATAGCATCTCCCTGTCACAGCATAGCATCTCCCTGTCACAGCATAGCATCTCCCTGTCACAGCATAGCATCTCCCTGGCATAGCATAGCATCTCCCTGGCATAGCATAGCATCTCCCTGTCACAGCATAGCATCTCCCTGTCACAGCATAGCATCTCCCTGTCACAGCATAGCATCTCCCTGTCACAGCATAGCATCTCCCTGTCACAGCATAGCATCTCCCTGTCACAGCATAGCATCTCCCTGGTATAGCATAGCATCTCCCTGTCACAGCATAGCATCTCCCTGTCACAGCATAGCATCTCCCTGTCACAGCATAGCATCTCCCTGTCACAGCATAGCATCTCCCTGGCATAGCATAGCATCTTCAGGTCACAGCATAGCATCTCCCTGGCATAGCATAGCATCTCCCTGTCATGCCTGTGAACTCCCTGTCATGCCTGTGAACTCCCTGTCATGCCTGTGAACTTTCACTACCCAGCTTATGCGTACCTGTGGAAGAGCTCTAGGCATCCCATACCTGTGGAAGAGGTCCGGGTAGTCCATTCCAGTGGAAGAGCTCTGGGCATCCCATACCTGTGGAAGAGGTCCGGGTGTCGGAGAGGCAGCAGCACAGCCTCCTTGAGAGCTTTCTTCTGTTCCTCCAGCCCACCCACCGATCCCAACGTGATTCCCCTCAAATCCCCCGCCACCCGCCTTGCCACTGCCGCTGCCCCTCCCCCCCTCCCTTCCTCCCCATCCTCGTCCTTTTCCGTCTTCTCCCCTCCCTTCTCTTCTCCACTGCAGCTACCACTATCTCCTTCCCTCTCCCTTGCTCCAATAAGGGTGGTCGCAGGAGTGAGGAGGAACGGCGGCAGAGGGATGTTTGCTGCTGCTGCTGCTGCTGCTGCTGCTGCTGCTGGTGCTGCTGCCGCATCTGTTGCTGCAATTGCTGCTGTGCCTGCGACTCTGTCCTGTGATGACACTAAAGGGGGAGAGGATACGATGACTGTGGTCTGGGCAACCACTTGCAGTGGTCTAGCTGGCTCTGCTGCTAATGCTGCTGCTGCCCTTGCTGCTTGCTTTGATGCTTCTCCACCTGTTTTTGCTGCTGTTTCCTTTGCTGATGCTGTTTCTGCTGTTGGTACAGTGCCATGGGAAACGACGAAACAGCAGTCCTGCCCGCATACAGGCACCACCACAATGTTTCCGGGCAGAAGCGTGCGCCCCAGCAGCCATCGGGCAGCAAAAACCTCCACAAGCCGAATGCCCTGAAGCTTAGTGCTCCTGCTGCTGCTGCTATTGGTCCCAGTGTTTCCTACCGTCTGCCCGATAAGTGTTTTCACAGCTGCCCAACGAGCTCTCTCCATCTCCTCTTCACTGATAAAGGGAGCCTTTTTTGCACTGCCCGGAGTCACAGCACTACCTGGAGTCAACACTTTTTGCACACTGCCCGGTGTTCTAGGCTCGAGGCGCCGTGCAACATTGGAGGGGGTACTGGGAGAGGGGGAAGGGGAAGGGGAGGGGGAGGACGCTACAAAGGGGGAGGAGGTTGGGAAGGGGGAGGAAGAAGAGGCGGAGATGGGACGTTGGGGGGTGCGAGGGGGGATACAGGGTACAGGAGAGCTGAGCGAGGTTGCTGCTGCTCCTGCTGCTGATCCTGGTGCTGCCTGTGTTGCTGCGCATGTCACTCCCCGTATTGGAGTTCTCTGTGATGCTCCTCCTGCTCCTGATTCCGCTCCTTCTCCCTCCCCTCCTACTGCTGCTGACCTGTCCCCATCAGCACCAGCACTGCAATCCAGTGGCTCCAGCCAGGTCAGCGCCAGCTGTCCGCACGGGATTGGCTGCATGACCACCTGTTCACCATGCGCTTGTGGGGAACTTAGGCTCAGATTCTGTTGCCGCCCGGCCTTGAGAGTGAAGACATAAAGGCGCGTGCTTTCCTCCGGGCGGCCTAGGCTGTCCGCTAGCTGCCAAGAGAGGCGGCAGCAGGATTTGGGAATCTTCGGCGCCGGCCACACGGTGGCCAACGCGCAGTACAGCCCGGGTAATCGGGCGGCGATTGCCGGCCAATCAGGATGCTGCGTCCAATCAGGCGTTGCCAGCTGTAGAGCCTCCTGTGCCAGCTGGAGCGGCGGGATTGGCTGCGCGGAATGGGGATCGCTGCACACCACCTGATTGGTGGGTTAGGGAAAACGGGGGAAAGAGGAACAGAGGGAGGGAGACAGGGAGGGGGAAGGGGGAAAGGAGTTGGGGGAGGGGGAAGAAGGTGAACTGGGAAAGGTTGGTAAAGGAGGAGACGGAGGGGCGGGAGGAAAAGATTCCGGTGGATGATTCAGGCGAACGTTCCAAAGCCGTGCATAAGCCCCAAACCCTGGACCCTGAATCTGAGACTCAATAGCCCCTCTGCCCTTGAGATAACCAGTACATAGCGGCTGAATGAATTGGATCCGCCGACGGCAAGTAGATGTTCTCGAAGGGCCTTACCGCGACCATGTCGCCCGCGGCCACGTCATCAGCCGTCATCGCTGCAGGATGGAACCATATCTGGGCGGCTGCTGAAGTGTCTCGCGCTGCCACGTCATCTATTGCGGAGATTTTCACGTCGAGTCTCTTTCCGCCAAACAAGTCGTCGAAGCACGCGGGCATTTGCGCATTCGACGAGGATTCGTCGCGGGACGCGGAAGGGGAGCTAGCAGCATTGCGGGAAGTTTGAGGGGACTGCGCTGGCGAGGGAGATTCAGTAGCCTTCTTGCTTTTCCCTTTCGACTTGCCTCCCATTTTCCCTCAAACTTCTGTTTCGCTACCGATGGCTAAGGAATGGCAGCAACGCGTGCGGGAAAGCTGCTAGAGATGGGGGACAATTGGGCTGGTGGGGGTTTCTGCATGTACGGTATTTGTTTCGGGGATGGTCGTCATGTTGTTTGAAGGCAAATAAGAAACATACATATAATTCCTACATTGGACTACCGAATCTCCACAACCGGGTCGCAGATGGAAAGACCAGGCCAAACCACTGCTCCGAGGCTGACGTAAAAGCCCCGCCGAGTTTGTAGGCCCTTCGGGGACCCAATCAGGTGCTTGGGAATTTGGCTTACGAATTTCCTGGGGTTCGAAATTGTTTCTTTACTGACTACCTCAGGTGTAGTGTGAGCTTGCTTGGGTTCGGTTCGGTCGGTTCGGGTGCCCAACACACTTACGCCCACAGGTCGCATTGACGCTGGTGAGATATTCCACAGGTGCTACAGCGCGCAAGGAGGAATTTTTTAGATCTACCGAGGCAGGCCATGAAAATGAATGCAATCTACAGAAGCTAGAACCCTTCGGCCGTCTGGTGTGCTTTGTTCGTTCCCCTTTTTTCACGGCCAGTGAAAGCTCGCTGGGGCACACCGATGTGTCATGGGAAGTCCCAAACCACCCATATGCCGAACCATATCGACTGCTCGATATGGGGCGCACCCCTGATTGACCACCGCCTAGCCCATGCCAAGCCTGGACCCCAACAAAGAAGAATCTGTCGGCGCGCTTGCTCAAACCCGGCTTCCCCTACCATGGCGCGAAAACCACACGCTCTTCCCCCTCTCCCCGCGCCCTCCTCCCAACTTCGAGCAAGGAAGAATCTACTCGGCTCGTTTTCCGCTTCTGCGATTTGCGGTCCGTAGCAGCCTCTTATTTGGTTCGCCGCGCCTCCGGCAGATGCTTCGGCAGCTCCTCACGGGCATGCTTTAAGGTCTTCTTTGTGGCGAAGTTATGTAACCGGGCCGGCAAGCTGACACGAAAGTAGACCTAGCATGAAGTGCAGTCACCAGTTTCGGTACTAGTCACGGTTTCCCGTATTTCTCGTAGCGCAGTCTAAGGTCTAGTGTTACTCTGGGGTTGAACCCACTTAGGCGCTACATAGCCTCGTTTGTTTCTTCCGCTAACCCCGCATTTCTTGCGCCACGTCAACCGTCAAATATGGTAATCGTCGCGGCGAATGTCACGAGCGTGAGTAATATCACCAGCAGCCCCGCTCCCCCTCCTCAGTCCCCGCCTCTTCCCCCTCCTCCGCCTTCCCCCGACAATGCGACGTCGCCCGCGACCATCGCATACGAATCCGTCATCTCCCTGCGACAGCTCAACATCGCCGTCGTCGCCGTGCTTATCCTGCTCGTCATCCTCGTTTTAATCCTCTCCTTTGTAAAGGCGCGTGCCACGTGGCAGCACCAGAGAGCCGCCACGCAAGATCCCGACCCGCAAGCCCTGCAGCCAGTGGGGAACCGCGGTTTGCTCATGGACGGCCGGAATATGCGTTCTGGCGTGCCCGACCACATTATTAAGACGCTCGGAAAGTCTTTTACGTACGTCGAGCCGGGGGATGACCTTGAAGCTGGCGGGACCAGCGCCCTTGACGGAGATGGGGGAGGGGGAGCGGGGGAACGCGGCGGAGGCGGAGTGGGGGAAGTCGGAGCTCTGGGGGCGAGCGGGAGAAGCAGCAGCCGAAGGTCGGCTGCGGCGGAAGCGACGGGCGGAGAGAGTGAGGGGAACGGCGCGGGGGGGAGAGCGGGGCGGGAGGAGGGGGATGACGAGAAGGAGTGCATTGTGTGTTTGGGGGAGTACAAGACTGGTGACGTCATCAGACAGCTTCACGCGTGCAATCATCAGTTCCATCAGGTGCGCGTGAGAGAGAAGGGGAGAGGAGAGAGGGTGCGAGAGAGGAAAGATAGTGCGACAGAGGAGAGAGAAGGAGAGAGGAGAGAGAAGGAGAAAGAATGAGACGATGAGAGAGCAGGAGATAGACGGAGACAGCGGGAAAGAGGAGTAGGCGTGATGTGATCCGTGGAGAGGAAGAAGCCTGATGAGAGGGGGGGAAGGAGAGAGGGAAAGGAAGGAAGGGATGGGATGGGGAGTTTGGGGGGAGAGGGGAGAGACGTGGAGGGAGAAAGAACAGAGAGGATAGAGACTGGGAAAGGGGTGAGTTAGTTTTTTTTTCTTATTCTTCAGGATCTTGTGGATAGCAGGGATGCAGTAAGGCATGCGTTACGGAATAGCCCTCCACCCGCCCCCATCCTCAGCCATAAAGCTGTCTCCACCTCTCCTCCATCACTCTGCAACACCGTGAGTTTTCCCTGAACGTCACTCACCTGCTCCTCTCCCTCCCCTCCTTCCCGTCCCCCTTCCTCCCCTCCTCTGTCGCCTGCCCTCAGGACTGCATTGACGCATGGCTCAAGACCAACTCCTCCTGTCCTCTCTGCCGAACCTCCCTCATTCCGAGCCGCCTGCTGGGGAACAACCAAGGCAACCTCAGCGACATTCCAGAGCAGCAGGGGTTGCATGGAAGCGTGGTAAGTAATGGCCAGGGCGGTGTTTTGTCGGAACCTGTGGGTATGACACCATCCGGTTCAGCAATGCCCCTTCTGCCTCCTGAGGGTCCTAGCCGCCTGGCTTATATCACATTCCCCCTCCGCCGTCTGCCGCTGTTCAGTTGACCCAAGTGGGTGAAGCAGCGCCGGGTGCATCGGCGTCATACCAAGTGCGTGTTGCAGGGTCTATGTTACCTACGTCATAACGTTGTGAGTGCTGATAGTAGCTAGCTCCACTTGTTTAGCAAGCTAGCAACCAATGTGTTTATATAAATGTATTTAAATGTAACGTTCGTTCTAGGAATGGTGTATTCCTCGCTTCGCTAAATTCTTCTAGTAACGTGTTTCGCCAATGTTTTGGATTGCTTCATGCTGTAATCAACCACGAAAACCTCACGCTAGCACCTCGCACGGCGCCAGTTGCGGCAGTTTGTGAATTCGTTTGAACAATTGCGCGCCTCGAAATGGGCTAAAGAAATTTACAACCACTGTGTTGCATTTCTCTAGGTCCATCCAACCTCCAATGCCTTCTCCACTACACTGACCAACCCACCCTCCGAAACATCTCTCCACTTCACCTACCATCTCTGTCGGTGACCCATCGCCTCGCTCATATGCCTCTCTTATGCACATTCCCTCAGACAAAGCTGCATGATTAGTAAGAAGGAAAGCCATTCCTCGCACAGGGAGCGATAAAATTTTTAGCATACAGAGCTGGATGATTTTCGACTGCGTGACCATAGCGGAGGAAGCCGAGACGCACGAATGTTTTGACCCATGCCCCGTCAGCTTCTCGTAGCGCCTCTGGTAGAACTTCCTTTGCTCCCTTGCTACCCAAGCGCGTGCCGTAGTGCGTCCAGATCGGTAAGAGCTCGGACGCTGAACGGATCTCGCCTTAATCAATCCCGGCTCTATATGCGGTATTTGTTCGCACTGTTGGCGCTGCTGCTCGTCGCGTGTTGCGCTGCCACTCTGCCACCACATGTTCGTGATCGGATTCGCGCGCGCCCGTATTTGATCCATCGAGCAACTCCCACCGGCGCTCTAAATCCGCTCCAGGACCCGCGACCATCGCGTACGCCGGTTCCGCTGCCTGCGTCAGTCGCGACGCGGGCACTGACTAAAGATCGTCAGACGGTTTCGAATAGCATCGTCTTCGCCAGCGACGGTTACAGCATCAGCAATAACAACGGCATCAACGTCAGCAGCGGAGCCGATGACGGTAGCGTCAGCAGCGGCAGTAGCGGCAGCAGCAGCAGCAGCAGTGTTACCGACAGTTACGATTACCCGAGCAACAGCAGCAGCAGTCAGCGCAATGACCAGCACAAGCCGCGGTACTACAACCCGTTGAACCGCCTCGTCCCCCGCTCCGCGCATCTTCCCGACGAGTGCGCCTTCGCGCTCCCCATACCGCTCCACCAATGCGCGCTCGGCTACAGCCAGGCCGTCCGGGGCGGGTATGGCCGGGTGGAGTACGTTGTCTCGTCCGACGACGACAGCCTGACGCAGGGTACGCTGCGGTGGGGTTTAGTGCGGTACCGAGCGGTTGGAGTATACGTGCGGTTTAGCCGGAACATGGAGATCAGGTTGAGGGGGCCGCTGCGGTTGGGGTCGCACGTGACATTGGATGGGCGCGGCGCGAGAGTGCGAGTCGCTGGCGGCGCGGTGGTTATTCGAGGGTCCAGGAGTATTATCATCCACAACTTGCAACGTGAGTTGCTGCTGCTCCTATTCTCTTCAACTATCTCTCTCCCCGTTTGGGCTGCATCCGCCAATCGCCGAATCTTTTTAAAGCTTCTCTTTTGTGGCCTTTTCCTCTGCTGTCAAGTGAAGCTGAACAGTGCTAAGCTGCTTTCCATTACTCGCCTTGCACACTCCCCCACTTGCACTATACATCCAGCTGCCTTGGCTCCCCACAATATCCCTTTGGCCTTTCTGCGCACGCCCCTTACTCCCCCTCCCCCCCCACCTCTCTCTTTCCCCCTCTTTTCCCCTATTTATACCTCTTTCCCCACTCCCCCCTCCCCTCCTTCTACCCCCCTCTCTCCCTTTCCCGCCCTCCCCTCCTCACCTGTTGCCCAAAATTATCAGTTGCTGACGTTCCTCGGTCGCTGTCAGCACCTCAGAATCTGATCTCCATCCGAGCGTCTCACGACATCTGGATCAACCATTGCACACTGCAATCCTCGCCGCGTGCCCTCATCTCCCTCTCCCGCTTCTCCACTAATATCACCATCTCCAATAATCACCTCCGTAACGGCGGCGACGCTATGGTTGCCATCACACCCCTCCTCCCGCCTCCCCTTC